AACAAGTTAAAACCTCGAAAGGGAAACACTTGTGGCGATAATGTTTCATTTTATACGATTCCAAGGAAACCCATTGGAAGGTACAAGGCATTTCTTCATGCTAAACAGAGAGAAGACAACTGGAGGCCTTCTCAGCATTCTCGTATTTGTAGCAGACATTTTGAGAATGGGAAGAAACTTGACATTCCAGAATCAAAAAGCTATGTGCCAACATTGGAGCTCCCAAAAAAATCATTTCAGACTGCTAGACGTAAAATTGTTTACAGGGGAAAGATAGTAAGTAGTAATATTTTGACAGCTTGTTTGTCACGATTCAGTTCTTTACCTATTTTCCATGGCACTGACAGGTGGATGTATTTACCGGATTTTTAATTTAATACACTAACAACGTTAGGGTAGGTTTACAGGATGTCTTGATCATTTTTATGTCAACCTGAACAATGATTTCACAGCTTGCCCCATTATTTCTGAAGTGGTGTTCACACCTTCACACAGCTTTAAAAAAACACTAAAATGAACCCATGACAATGTTTTTCCCATGTACAGACAGCAAATCTGGCCCAAAGAGGTGCTGGTCAGTTATAGTAGTTATTGCACGTTTTCTCTCTAATTAAATATTTTCTGCAAATGCGATTAGACCAGACCAGATATAAAATGCACAAAAACAGAAAGTGTTTTCTTCTTTCTGTTATATTTTTTAATCTTTTTTAGTACAATGTTGAACCATGAATAAAAACATAATATATTTCATATGTTTTAGGGAAAACAAAACAGTTTATTATTGGCGATGTTGGCAGCAGAACCTGATCTTGATGCTTTCAAAGATGAAGAGTCTAACGTTCACATTTCAGAACAGGTAATAGCATTTTTACATCAAGGTATACAAAGTGAAAATGTGGACATAGTAGAACTCGCCAAGCTTTCAAGTGACCCCTTCCCTTTGTGTGCAATATTTTGGCAGACCTTCATAGATTTACTACGAGTGTCATTGAATAAATAATTCAATTGTATTTTATTTTATTTTATAGACACCTAAGAGTTTTACTGTGGACAGGGGAACCCAGTATGATGTCTCTGATATACCTGTCAGCACTGTACCACCAACTGAACATGACTACTGTTTTCCTGTAACGAAACCTGCAGAATATATGGACATTGATTCTTTGAAATCATACACAAAATCTTTGGTGGAGAAGCTTGAAAAACAGACTGATAAACTAACTGATTTGAAAGCTAGAATTGCAAATCTGATAGCAGAGGTAGAGTCGTATCGCAGTCGGGAATTTACTCTTGGTAGTATTAAGAATGATGACAAAGCTGTTAACTTTTACACAGGTTTTCAATCGTATAATGCACTGATTGCTTTTTATAAGTTCCTTGAGAGTAAGGCTGAAAATTTACAGTACTGGAGAAATTCAAAAACTACGTCAGAACCACAGTATTATCAGACTTTGGGCAGAGGGAAACCAGGTCGTAAACGTACCTCTTGTACTTTAAATGAATTGTTTATGGTACTGGTTAGACTAAAAGTAGGCTTATTTGTTGAAGATATCTCCAATAGATTTAATATTAGTTGCAGTACATTTTCAAGAACTTTTACTACATGGATCATTTTTTTGTATTATGAACTAAAACTACTTTTTCCATTCCCTACTCAGTCTCAGATTCGAAATACCATGCCAGCAGAATTTGTGCAGTATCCAACCACGCGAATTATTATTGACTGTACAGAGTTATTTGTTGAAGTGCCCACATCTTTATTAGCGCAAAACCAGACGTGGTCTAATTACAAACACCACAATACATTTAAGGCTATGGTGGGTATTTCTCCAAATGGCGCAGTAACTTTCATTTCTGATTTGTACGGGGGTAGGATATCTGATAAAGAAATTACAAAGAAGTCTGGTCTGTGTGAGATATTGGAGTCTGGCGACAATGTAATGGCCGATAGGGGATTTGAAATTAAAGGTATTCTCCCTGCAGGGGTGGATTTAAACATTCCTCCATTTAAAGGCACCAGAGCAAAGCTGACTGCTAGGGAAGTCCAAGATACCATGGATATTGCATCTGTGCGTATTCATGTAGAACGTGCTATAGGCCGAATTAAAAAATTATCATATATTGGATGGGGGTCATCCCTTTAACTTTAGCCAAGGTCACTAACCAGATTTTTACAGTTTGTTCATATCTCACAAATTTTCATTCACCACTTTTAGTGCCAAAAACATGGAAAACTGTTTAATTGCTTTTATACAATAAAATGTCAAATATATTGTGTATTTTTATTACACTTGGTTTGTGTTAAGCTTTCAAATACCATAATAACGCTATTAATTAGCCAGGGCAATTTCTTGCATCGGAACTTTGTACTTCAATTTTCATTACAAAATTACCAAATGGCACGATCTTAACTGTCTTATGGGGTATACCATTAACTTGATCTGATCGAGTAAAGGAATAATAGCCTGTCAATCTACGGTAGTTGGTGTGAATAAAGACCAATATCATTAAGAAATGGCTGTCTAAATAATAGAGTTATTATGGTAACTTTTAATAATAGAAGCTCCACATCTTAGTGTTGGATTTTTTGAGGCAAGACACCAGGTCTGTGTTATCAGCATTTTTTTTTATTTACAAGTGTGTAAACGTAAATGAAGCACTTATATTGATGACATGTAAATAATTCCATTCAGAATATCAATGTAAATAATAAACTTAAATGACAATGTAAATAAGTTTTAATATGATGTTACCATCAGAAAAAATGTATGAAAGTAAATCAAATAAACAAAGCTCCCATATCGCTCACAAATAAATATTGACTTAAAAAAAATGTGTAAATAATGTCAATGTAAATAAATATGTTTTGATATGACATTGAAAGGAAATTCTACATACAGATGAAAAATTCCAAGCCATCTTCCACTCCCTCAAGTAAAAATTTAGAACAAATTAAGTCAGCACTTGATGGCATAAATATACTGTACATAACATGTTTTGACTGCAAACACTTTCTTGCCAATATAATTAATTTTACAGTAGACTTACTTTCTATATGGCTTCCAACCCCCATGGCGATATAGTTTTATCCCTCTTTTCACTCGACTGGTTAATATTTCTGGAAGGAAAGCCCTAAAATAGAAATGATTAAGGGCTGGTAGAAAATAACTGTACCACAAGTCCTCATTGAATTTTATTCTTTGAACAAATATATTACAGCCCTCACCAAACCATACTACAAAGTCTGCCCACTGTAAACCAGCTGCATACATTTGTCCTTGTACTTGTATATAATAATTATGGGATCTCTTCAACATGATTACACCATTGTTGAGACTCAGAAAAGAGTTCTTTTCTTTGGCAGCATCCTCAGGTGACATATGAGGGGGGAAATTTTACTTCCAGGCCTCCTACAGTGTGGACATCCTCAGTTGGATCTGTAACCATCCTGTCCAGACTTGCCCCATAATCTGTATTGTGTCTACAAATTGTGAATCCTACCTCTTGCACTTGTAATTCAGGACTACCATTTTCATGCTTGTATGAGAGGTACGCATTAACACCATCTGCCTCATGCTTTCGACCATATTCAGTTGCATATGTTGAAAAGCTTGGTCTGTACAATAGTGAATGCAGAAGCTTGTCAGGCTCACATCTTCTTTTGACAAATTTTCCAAAATTTGACGCAGTCATTTTCATCCGTCTGATATTCTGCCAGGCGATGTTTCCTGCTTGACCACGTGTTTGTTTTTCTATTGCTTTAATATTGTCTTCTGACAAAGATTTTGCATTCCTTGATGCCACAAACTTAACAATTTCATGAAAGTGTGAAGTGTTAATGTTATACTCGTCACTGAATGGCAGAGCACTATTTTCACCATCAGTGTGTCTTTGGTGTGGTGCTCTGGCGTCATATAGATTGATGGATGGTTTCTTGTTATGGTCTTGACTGTATTGGTATTTTCTTATTGTCAAATCATGTAGTGGGGCACTTGTAGTCTGCAGGGTTGTTGGCTTAGTCCACTGGCATAGGGTACTTGTACATGAAACTGGGTCTTCGTTTTCATGTAATCCTTTACGGCAAAAGTCTTCCAATGCAAATAGCAGTGCCGTAACATGATTACACTTACCAAGTGCATTGATACCTTTACTGCAATAAATAATAATATAATTATTATTAATTTCAATAATATATGTCAACAACGTTATGCAAGTTTAAATCTTAAAATTTTTGTTCACAGGAACATAATATACTTCCCATAAAAATATATCAATATACCCTAGAAATAAATCATAATTCCCAAAACAGTTGCAACATAATACGTGACGTCTATATAATTTATTGAAATGAAATTATTTTTAACTGCACCCAATACCAATAAAGTATAATTTTTTGAGGTGTGAGACATGGTAAGTGCCTCTTGTCTAGATTTTTTTTATTCGAAGTCGACCGGGCACTTGGAAAAA